GAAGTAGTTATCACCAATGCAGTAGTCTGAAACTACCTTCAAATTTAACATCGTAGGAGTTTTCAGGGAAATCATTATACTATATTTCTTTAGTCTGCAATCATGCTTTTAAAGATGTGTATAACTGTCACATTAAATAGTTCATATATAAAAATATAAAAACAAACACATTGGGGCCACTAGGTAGTGCAGTGGTTAAGGTGCTGGACTCCCACATGGCCGACCACGGTTCGGGTCCCAGACCAGGCAGCTTGTTTTCTCACTTTCCCTTTCTCTCTGGCCAAATTAAAGATAACAATAATAATAAATAATTCTTAAAAGAACCCCCCCCCCAAAACCAAAAACACCTGACAATACACAAATCTAACAAGTATATGTGGCAAGAGATTCCATAAAATATTAATGTTTGAAGATGCATTTTCTTTCCTTCTGTCTCCAGTAAAGTGTGCTTTTGAGAGGCCATTGGTCAATACATATATATGTAAAATAAGCCATATAATTGTACTAAGAAATCCTGCAGTAAATTCAGTTCAAACTGATTTCATGCACTAACTTAAAATACTTAAACAAAGTTACAGAAAGTGTACCTTCTTGTTTCCACCTTCATTAACATTTTTTGCTTGTTTGGTTTGCTTTGGTATTTAGACCTTTAAAAAGACAAATAGTTAAATACTATATACATACATGGAAATTTGTGGTGGTGGTTCATAAAAGAAACTGCTTCCTTATGATTTGCCTCAAGTTCTGGTAGAACAGGAAATAGCTAATAAGCAAAACCAAGACACACACATTCAAAAAACAATTTACTTTGGTAGCAAATGGTTGTTCTTTGAAGACTAATGAAAGTAGACATTAAGGTGAAGTGGGCTATTTGAAATATTGTTTACATAAATTTTAAGAAATTATTCATTCATTCATTTACTTATTTCAATTTGACCAGAGAGGGATAGAATAGGAGAGAGAGAAAGCAAGCTGCCAGGTCCAGGACTTGAATCGCACTTGACCATATGGGAGTCCAGTACCCTTAACTACCTGCCAGCCTCCCAATTTTTTTTTTTTTTAAGAGGTTTTTGCTATAGGGCGTGTGTGCTCGCCAGAGAGAGAGACAGAAAGTGAGAAATCACCCCCCAGGGGGATGGCCACACCACAATCCCTTCTTCTCCATTCTCCTCTCGGGATCTTGGGCACACACGCACATGCGCCCGGCGTGAGTTTTAGGGCACTGGGTCCGGGAAGCGAACTCCGGTCGACTACAGGGGCATCCAGTGACATAGCCATTACGCCAACTGCTGGTTCCCCATTTTTTTTTTTTTTTTTTCAAAAGAGCTAAGTTTTGGGGCCAGTAGGTGGCATGGTGGTTATTATGCTAAACTCCCACATGGCCAAATGTGGCTCGAGTCCCAGACCTGGTGGCTTGCTCTCTCTCTCTTTGGTGAGTGCATATGCCCTATAGCCAATTAAAAAATAATAATGATAATAAATAAGTCTTAAAAAAAGAGCTAAGTTTCTACATCCACTGATGGCAGTATAATACCTAGTTTATGATTTGGAAATGCCCATAAGGGAAAAAAAGCTGTATTTTATCTAAATTTACTTTCTGTCAATAGTCCAGTAACATTTTCCTTCCAATGCAGTATTTAGGGTTTAATTATAAATTCCATGTTTACATGATTTTTAAGTTCCCAAACAGGTATGTAATTCCAATTCTATCCTTTCTGCAAGATTTCAGTGGTTAATAACAGGAAAAACTTATAAACTATGGCTTACTCCTTAAAAAAAAAAATTCAAATTTTTAACTATTTTTGATAGAAAAATTCTTTAATCCGAACAAGTTTAATATTGACACTTACGGCTTAACTAGATTGAAATTTCTACAGCCACTGTTAAGTTCACTCTGTGTATACTTGCCTCCTAACCACTGTGTTGAACCTCCAAAGTAATATGGTCTTAATTCCGACTCACTGTAATTAAGAGTAGCACTAGTTATGTGACCTTTGGTAACTTAAGTTCCAGAGGTTTTTTGCTTGTTTTTTTAAAACAGGGATTTTTGCTATAGTGCATGTGTGCTCAGCGGGGAGAGAGAGAGAGAGAGAGAGAGAAAATGAGAAATCACCCCCCAGGGGGGATGGCCATACTGCAATCCCTTAATCCCTTCTCCTCTCAGAATTTTGGGTACACACACACGTGCCTGGTTTGAGTTTTAAGCTGCTGGGTCTGGGACTCAATCTGCAGTCGAATGTGGAAGTCCAGGGACATAACCATTACACCATCTGCTGTTCCATGTTTTGAGTTCTTAATTTGTAAAAATGAAACAAACTTCTTTCCAGGGTTGTTGTGAGGACTACCCAGGAAAACGTATGTAACACATACAGCACTTGATCACACATAAAGTTAGTAATGATGGCTACTATCCCATAGTCGAAGTCTCATTTACGTTTTGCTAAATAAATCAGACCTCAGCTTTGGGTGTTTACAAATAATGACACCTATTATAAGCTTCTTTTACAACTGATAAAAGGTATAAAGAAGTATTGAACTATTTAAATAAGTTTATGAAAAGCTATTTTGCTGAAGGTTATTTCAAACTCTTTTCTCTCAGCAGATTGAGAAAAGGTGACTTTTCTCCCCTATGGAGCAGCTTACGAACCTTAAACTAGGGATGGGTTGGGGAGACCACAGAATGGGGTTGTCTTCTCTTCCTAAGTGATTAGGAGGGGCAGATTTGTATTTCATGTAGTTGGTCATGATTCAGCTAGTCAGATGTTCAATTTGTCACTCAGCTACCTGGTACCTGATACACACTGACAATTTAGAAATGCCACATTCATTATATATTTCTAGACTGTCAAGGGAAGCTTTCTGCTTTCAAGTACACAAAAATATAGGGAAAAAAAGTAGTGCAGTTATTAGGGCTTGGGGCTATTTATTTAAATTCTAGTGACTGGTAAAATGTAGATCATTTAAAAATGTACAAAATTTGATCAATATATGTGGTTCAGGAAATAATCTGTCACATGGGGACTATTTTATGTCATTTGAAATAGATTTGTCCCTGTGAGAGAGGCTGCCTAAAGACCGTACTTCCCGTGATCAAGCCAAACCATACAAGCATTGGTTTTTCGTAACAATGCTCACCCTTGGTTTTATACTTTAAAAAAGGGGATGTTCTTAGTAAAATTCCATCCAAAATTTGATTCTGTCCTTGCTTTAGCTTTCACCAGATGAAGTTACAACTGACAAAATGACCAGGACTTTATGGAAATGAATGCACTTTCTAAGCTCCTTTGCATGGGACATGAGGTCCTTTCAAGATGTTTATCTAGAGTCTTCATATTTCCCAGTCATTACTCACACTGTGTT